CGAGATACAATTTCCCATATAATCTATATATCCTATTTGTATATATAGTAGATATCTTTTTATATGCCTATACATACTCTATACTATGTAATATGTATGCATATATACATAGGATTAAATAAGGTATTTTGGATATTCAGTAATAGTAAATAAATAGACAGCGAAATTGTATCTCGTTGAGGCCTTTGAGATGAGGAGAAGCCAAGCCTTGACACAAGAGAAGACAAGTTGTCCATGCCAGTGGAGAAATTCAAATTTTTTTACTATTGCTTCTGCAGGTGTGGCTTGGTGGGCATGGCAGAGGAAGGATACTGCAAATTCCCCATTCCTCCCCACTCCTGGGGCCAGCCAGAAGTGGTATTTGCCGGTTTTCCATACTACTCAAACCTGGCAGAACCTGCTGAATTTCACCCTGGGCCATACCCACCCAGTCACATGACCACCAACCCACGTCTACCCAGTCACATGATCACCAAGCCACACCCACCAAACCATGCCCACAGTACCGGTAGTAAAAAATATTGAATCCCACCACTAGAATATATGTTTTCTAATTTTCCATCTCATGCTGTTTAGTTCACATGTTCTAAAATTTCTCAAGGTGTCTCAAAAGGTTCTTGAGATTCATGTTTAACTATTTTTTAATATTTTTTTTATATTACCGTGTTTCCCCAAAAATACAACCTGTCTTGAAACTAAAGTCTTGCCACATTTTTCGCATGGGCAAAAATATAAGCCCACCCCCCAAAATAAGCCCCCTGGACAATCACCCCTCCACCCAGGCAGGGCACCGCTCACAAACCTAGTGGTATTCCGAAGGCGCCAAGCCGCGGGAATGAGGTGGGGGGCAAAAGCGCTCGCATTGCTTAGTGCTTTTGGGGTACCATTAAGTCGGTCAGAGGCTCTGTGCCCAGTTGAAGAGGGGGGTTGCCGGGCAGCTGCTCTCTTGCGAGCGGGCTCCTGAAGAGTTGGGCACAGCCTCAGGGTCGAATGGCTGTGTTGCGCTGTTGCAGCAGCAACACAGCAGCCATGAGGTGGCCACGCTTATAAGCAGCCACCCGGCAGCCCCCCTTTCCAGCCGGGCACAGCAACGCTGACCAATCTAGTGGTACCTGGAATGCACCAAGCAACGTGAGCGCATGTTTGCCACCCTCCAGCTCCCGCAGCTTGGCACCTTCGGAATGCCCCTAGTGAGTGAATGGGGCTCTGCATGGCTGGAGAGGAGGGTTGTGTGAGTGGCTTTTCTGCTCCCCGCTGGCATGACTCGCAGGCTCACGATGCCCTTGGGTAACTCTGTGGAGCCAGGGCATCAGCACTGCTGGCGCCGCCCGCAGCTTTGGTTTTTTTCCGGCTTTCAAAGCACAGAGGATGTATGCTGCTCTGGGAGTATGCTCTTTGGTTGTGGGCTACCGAGCGTACAACCATAGAGCGTACTCCCAGAGCGGTATCCATCCTCCATTGCGGCTTCCAATGCACAGAGGTAGGATACCACTTTGGGAGTATGCTCTATGGTTGTACGCTACCATAGAGTGTAATTCCAGAGCGGCATCCATCCTCCATGCTTTGAAAGCTGCCAAAAAAACCAAAAAAAAAACAAAACCAAGCAGCAGAGATGCCCCTTTTCTGCAGGACAAGCCAAAAACAATAAGCCCTCCCCTTTAATAAGCCCAAGGCCGTATTTTGTGGGTCAAAAAATATAAGACCCTGTCATATTTTTGGGAAAACACAGTAGGTTGATGTGCATCATTGCTTCTTGATCTGAGAAGTTTTTGTAANAGTCATTCCTGACTCTAGGGGGCGATGCTCATCTCAATTTAAAGCCAAAGAGCCAGTGCTGTCCGAAGATACTTCCATGGTCATGTGACTGATATGATTAAACACCGAAGACGCACAGAATGCTATTATCTTCCCACCAAAAATGGTTCCTATTTTTCTACTTGCATTTTTACATGTTTTCAAACTGCTAGTTTGGCAGAAACTGGGACAAGTAATGGGAGCCATTACATGGCACTAGGGATTCGAACCACTGAACTGCCAACCTTCTGATCGACAAGCTCAGTGTCTTAGCCACTGAGCAACCACATCCCTAGATGCACTTTAATAAATATGAAATACATTAATTAGAATGCAAAATGAAATAATTGCTACAACTCCTCTCCCAGCAGATATAACTCATGTGACCATGGCATGAAATTGGAGGAGTAATGTGCCTTTTTTGCCACAGAGATATGAGCAGAGAGATGTTTATACAGCACAGATCTGGTATCTGAAGCCCATTAAAAGGGCACCATCTTTGCACGTACCCTTTCTAATTCCACTGTGAAAACCTGGTTCCAAGCTTGTAGGCCAATGGATTTCCAAGTGGTCTGCCCTACAACTCCATTGTCCAGCTTCAATACAGCACTTACTTCATCTACGAGAAGAAAAATTGGAATGTTGAGAAAGAGAAAATAAGATTGCGAGCTGAATATAAGGATTTCATTTCAAGCTGATTGAACTGCATTAACATCAATGCAGCACTAAAACGTATCAACATCCCTCTAATTCACTCTCTGATTTTAGTGCCGATTACCCTCAGGACTACTTACTGCTGGTATCTTCCGATTTGATGGTGGTCCTGCCGCTTACACTACCACTGCGATTATACAACCCTCGCCCACTGCGGCTCATGAACGAAGGCCGGGCTTCACCAGGACTGTTGCAAGGCAGGCAGACAGTGGAGCCACGGGTACGTCCTGGGACAACCTCCAGCAATCCACTGCAGCCGAACAACTGCACTTCCAGGGTCCCTGCCAATAAGAAATTGCTAAGAACCAAAGTTTGAAACAAAAACAACAATACTTTCTTTGAGCCTTAAGAGTGTAAGCAAGAGATTGGGGGAAGAAATCCTATTATCTCACTTGTGTATGGAAAAAAGAAGGTACATTAAGAATGGATTAGTAGGTAGATAAAACAACTACTGTATGGAATGGGGGGTACTGACTAAGTAGAATGTCCTTATTGTTGCTGTTATTAACAATTACGATTACAATTTCATTTCTACATCACCTTCTTAAAGGGCTCAGGTTGAATTAAACATAGTCAAAAACTAAACTGAAACATTCTGGCAATCGATTGGCCCAACCTATGCCCTCAGGGAGGGGGAGTGCAGTCACCTGTGAGTGGAGATGGCTTTGATAGGGTATTATACTGGTTATGCTGGTAGGAAGTGGTATTGCGGGCACTGAAGGCAGGAGAGGAGGCCAAGATGAGTTCCTCCTTAATGATGCAGGCCTTGGGATGATCTTCAGGCAGTTCAGCCAGGCGTTGCTCCAGAGAATATCGCAAAAGATCCAACTTCTGGCTTGATTCGTTCATCTTGGTCTGTGCCTATAGCAAAGGCCCAGATCATCAGGTGCCAATTTAGCTGAGTATAGCAATTACCCATTTTATATTCTCCTTCCATTTCCACACAGCTTCTAAACCAAGACAGTCTGCCTGACGTATTAACAATAATATAGACTCAGCACCCTGTGGCACACAATCCTTAATTCTTCAGCAAGTAAGCTATTGGATTTCAGGTCATCTCTCAGCTACAGAGCTTGTAAGAGGGAAAACAAAGTGCAATACTCCCCATGCCCACGGTGCAGGTCATAGGAAATTTATAAGAGCAGAACATGTGATGGGATGGCCTTGTTTTTTAACTCTTCTCCAGCAATTATTAGAATTTAGATGTAAATGTTCTGACAATGAATAAACCTGTCACAACTTCTTTGAGAAAAAACGATTGCTTTTTTTCTTTTTCTTTGAGTGGCCTTCCAAAACGTCAACTGTGACCCACTTCAAATTTGTTTGTGTCTTGTGTTTCTAGACTTCCCATCTCCCAGGACAGGCACAAATGTTGTCTTTGAACTGTAATTTTTAATATGCCAGAAGTGAGGTATTAAATATATCAGAAAGTCATATTAATTTAATCAAATGCAACTTTTGTCTAAATTGTGGTTTTTAAGATTCCATCCAAAAGTGCTTAGTCTAAAGATCACTGAGCTTATCTAGCACAGGAAGTTGTGTTTAGACAATATGCACACTGACTGAGAATGCTTACTTGTAATGCCAAGACATCTAGAAACACCAGCCTGGGAATAGTTGCAAATATATGTCACAAAAGGGCATAATTGGAAAAAAAAATTTAGGTTATTTCAAACTCACATAATTTACAGCAGCACTGAATTGCTTACTGCTTCATTTCTTCAATCATTTTGTATATCTTTATATCAACCAAGGAAAATGCACCATTACCTCAGAAATAGCATGACGATCCTGAACTTTGCTGGAGCTCAGAAGACGCAGGGCGTTTTTGGCACCCTCACATACAGCATATTCTACTTGGAAATGATGGCGAAGCTCCTCAATTCTCAATTCTATGGCGCTTAGATCTGTGTTCCCTGCAAAGAACATTAAAAAGTCAGTCTATCTCCATTTGTATGCTTAGCATCAGGGCCCTGACATGGTACCCACAATTTCCCTAGTTCAGTGCCAGCGTTAAATATATATTTCCCAGAATATCCCCCATCCCTTTGTAAATTCAGGAGGCATTCTTTAGGAATTAAACATGCTGGAAGAAGATACTCCAGCCCTCTATTGGAAGTAAGACAATTTGCCTACAATTAAGAGCAAAGGAACATCCAAGGATGGGGGGAACTGGAGAAAATATAGAGAAGAGCCTCACTGATAGGATATAAACATGGATGGATGTATTGTGATTACCCACCTACCACAGCAGCCATTTTGTCCCTTTGACATGCTCTTAAATTTTATCCAAAAAGGGACACCTCCCCTTAAAAGAATGACAGATCCCTTTGTGCCTAACATGTACGTAGCTCCAGAGGAAAACCCAGAGACCTGTATCCAGATCCATAAATAGGGGTTTCATATTAGGTGGGGAAAAGACGGGACTTTAAACCGTTCAAAAAACAATTTCCCAGTTCCTGAAGGGTTTGAGAGGACAACAGGGACATTGGCCTTTCTGAAGTGACAGCCTGGCTATAGCATAAACAGAGCTTGCAGCAAACAGAGGTTTCTTCTTCTTTATTCTCTCCTTCACCTTGCCCATCTTCCATATTCAGCTGCACCTCGTCAGCTTGCACAGCCTTGCGAATCTGCATGCGGATAATATTTATCTTGGTTTTGCCGTCTTGTAGCATTTGCTGGGCTGTCTGCAGCAACTTCCGATCCTAGACAGAAGACCAAAGGGGTGGATTGAATTCTCTCCAACAGAAGAAAAGTATTGAAAATCACAGCAAAACCAATGTAGCTGGCAATAGATTTAAGACAGACAGACAGACAGAAGCTATAAGAATACACATAGAACTAACTGGACTGCCTTCCAGAGTGTTAACAATTATTATCTCCAATAATGATCTCTCATCAAATCTGCCCATCCAGCAAGAGTTGGGCTGTCTTACAAAATGCAATCAA